GAGAGAGAGAGAACGAGAACATACTTGAGAATGAAGTTGTAGGCATCGCCTGGAGGAGGAGCTAGCATGATTACAACGGAGACGAGCCAGTGGGCGAAAAGGCCAGCCAGGGGAGCGTTTCTGGGCCTGTTGCTCGCCCAGAACCTGGAAAACGGCAGGATGCCTTCACGGCCTAGTTCCTGGACGACTGCAGGACGTTAGACATGGTTTGTACACAGAAGAACAGTGAGAAGAAGAAGACGTACGGCGGCCCTGGGAGAAGATGACGCTGAGAACGTTGCCAAAAGCCGAGAGGGCAACGAGGACGGAGAGCGCTCTTTCAGCCTGCTCTCCGAACATGTTGCGGAAGAACGAGGCCGCCAGGATGCGGCCCGAGGCGACGATCTGGTCCTTGGGCACTGCGGCAAAGTAGGCAATCTAGACGCTATCAGTCAGTACGATGGGCGGTCATGAGCAGGAAGTGATAAACTGGATAAAACAAGGGGAGCATACGTTGGCCAGCATGTATAGAGCAGCCACGGTCCCGAGAGCCAGCGGCCCGGCGATCTTCAGCGTCCGGACGGGGTTCTTGGTCTCGCTGAGAGCGTAGTTGGCGTTGCTGTAGCCGATGTAGCTCCAGATCGAGCTGTACAGGGCCGTGACGACGCCGTATGCGCTGCCGGTGGTGCCCTCGAAGGCGTTGCTGAAGTTGTCTGGCTTGTCGATCTTGAGGGCGCCGCCCAGCGCCGCAAAGCCCGAGAAGACGATGAGCAGGATGACGAGCAGCTTGATGACGCCCAGCAGGTTCTGCAGCCGCAGCCCCCACTGCAGCGCGAGGCCGTGGATGAGGAAGGCCGCCGTGATGCAGGCCAGGCCGACGCCGCGCTGGTTCCAGCGGTCGACCTCGATCTGCGCGGCGTGGAGGATATATTCGCCAAAGATGACGGAGTTCGAGCCGGCCCATCCTGCAGTCAGTCAGTCAGTCAGTCAGTCAGTCAGTCAGTCAGTCAGTCAGTCAGTCAGTCAGCACAACGGCCATCATCATCAATTGACAGACAGCAAAGTACACAGAACAGGCAAAGACGCACCGAGGAGCACGACGTAGCCGGCGTAGAGGCCCGTCACCAGGAAGCGCGGGCGGCGGAAGACGAACTCGAGATAGTTCTTCTCGCCGCCGTTGCGAGGCAGCGCAGTGCCGAACTCGAGGTAGACGGCCATGCCAGCGCCCGCGATGAGCATGCCGGCGACCCAGATGAGCAGCGAGAGGCCGACGCTGCCGGAGAGGGCGAAGATGGCGCTGGGCGTCGCGAAGATGCCGGTGCCTATCATGCGGTTGAAGATGAGGAAGACGGCGGAGACGAGGCCGATCTGGCGGCGCGACTCGCTGGTGTGATACTCCTCCTCCTCATGGCGGTCGTTGGCTGCTACCAGTCAGTCAGTCAGTTTTCTTCTTCTTCTTCTTCTCTTCTTCTCTTGCATCGAAGGAGGCCTCTCACCCTCAGCTTCGTAGCTGCGCAGCTTTGCCGTCGGGTCTGCCATGGTTCCAAACGACTTCGCCTGCTTCACTGCGGTGCGCAACGACGATTCACCGTCTCGCGGCGGCCAGACGCCTCTTATAAGGGCCCCTCGAGGTCGATGGCCGCTCGATCTTCGCCCCGGCTCCATCTTCGCTATCTCAGGTCGAAAAGACGCCATCCCGAGACGATGCTAAGTTAGAAATCTTCCATGGCCGGTGGAGAGCCGGTGGAGCTGCCCAAAAGCCTAGCAGCGCACGAAGGCCGTCGCAGCGTCGAGGGCAGACGCCCGGCCACGACTGGCTCAGGGCCGGAGGAGGACGGACGGAGCTGCAGGGATGAGGCAGCTCCAGCTCCAGCAGGGAGGATCAGGCGTGTCAATACTGACAGGATGGATGGGATAGACCAGACAGGCGCAGGACAGGACAGGACAGGACAGCCAGGGGCCAGGGATGATGCGACGGCGCAAAAGCAAAAAGACGGCGGCGGCGGGAGGGACGAAGGATAAAGCTGAGACGGACTGACTGCTATTGCTATTGCTATGCTATGCTATGCTATTTCAGACACTGCTGCTGCTACTCCGTAGAGCAGCTCGCTGGCATCCCGAGTTGACATCTCTGGAGGCCCGTCTTCTTCTTTGTTGGCTAACTATGTATACAGCCATGCTGTGATGCTGTGATGCTGTGCTGCTGTGCGGCGGTCGATCTCGCAGCTGAGGCCGGGGGACTGCCGGCAGCATGGGACGATGAGATGAGACTGAGAGACGGAGAGGAAGGACGAAAGAGAGGACGACAAAGGCGAAGGAAAAGAAGAAACGAAGAAGAGAAGACGAGATATACCCGATATACCCTCTGGCAGTCCCCCCTGACCACAGCCTGTTTTGGCGTATGCAGGGCATCCACAGCGACATCCACGGCTACTCCATGTTTCTACGACATCTACGGAGTAGTTACCACAACATATTAGTTATATTAGTTACTAATTGTTATTATTATAACATGCTCCTCCTACCGGGTTCGCTGGCGCGGACGTCCCCAGCCGGAGCAGTCTGTCAATTGGCGAGCTAGCGACTCGGGTGGACATGTCTCGCCTGCAGTCTGCCGTCACGCTGGCTGAAGATATCTACTTTGGTCCATCGCAGTGGGACAAGTCGAGTCTACCTTCATGGCGCCGTTTGCCTATTTAAGGGGCACCTCGTCTCCCTGCTGGTCGGGATGGTTCTTTTGCTTCTCATCACCTTCTAGAAGCTCTTCTCCACGACTATTTCGACTATAGAACTGCTGTTTGAACAGTGTGTTGCTAGTGTTTACGGCTCCTTATACCACTACTACCACTACTATTACTACTACGACACCAAGATGATTACCTCCCTTTTCGTCGCGGTCGTCTTTGCAGGCGCCATCTTTCTCCATGCTATCAGATACCAGCCTTTCTCTATCGATCCGCGCATCTACCTTCTCGTTGCTGTTCTCTTTGCCCTGGGTGTCATGGTCTACAAAATCCTGATCTATCCATTTGCGGTCTCCCCTTTGCGGCATCTGCCAACTCCGAAGGTTAGAACATTTCTTGCATACGTCGCGTCCACCCTGCTTTACATTGAGATATGGTTGGATAACTAATTCTCCTATAGGGACACTGGTTGCTTGGCCAGACGGTCAAGCAGTTCCGTGCCAACAGCCCCCACGGAGCAGCCGTTGATTGGATGCTGGAGTTCCCGGAGGCGGACCTCATCCGGCCCTTGATGCTGGGGAACAGCGAGTCTATCCTTGTCTGCAGTCCCCGGGCGCTGAAAGAAGTCACCCAGACGCACTGCTACTCCTTCGTCAAACCGAAGTTTCTTGCCCGTACCTCGGAGGGTATCATTGGCAAGGGAGGCATCTGCTTCGCCGAGGGAGATGTCCATCGCCAGCAGCGAAGATGTTTCAACGGTACGCTCTTCTTTTCTCTCTTCGAAGGTGCTTCATACTTCGATCTATCTATACTAACATCCTCAGTCCCCTTTCTCGTGAAAAATGTCAAAAAGTCGATGCCGGCAATGTTGGCCAAGGGAGAACAACTTGCCAACGCCGTAGGAGAAACGGCCGCTGGCAATGACGATATTGTAGAAGGCAAATATATCCCATACGCTCGCCCCCCCTCCCTGACTTCAATTTGTATGAGAGACCAGGCTAACACCTACACAGTATCCTCGCTTATTATCAAGGCTACCATTGACATAATATCCAAGGCCGTCATGGGCTACGAGGTCGACAGTCTCGCCGATGCATCCAAGGCGGAGTTCTACCGCAGAACGATGGATGTCATGCACTTGTCGACCACTGACCAAATCATGCTCGCCCTAGACAACTTTTTTCCGGCTCGCAAGTGGATCCCAATCGAGGCCAACCGCCGCTTCTTGCATGCAGGTAACGTCATCAGCGAGTTGCTTACCGATCATGTCAGGAAATGCATCTCCAGAATCAAGCAGGAGCCGGATGCCGAGAAGGACCTCGATAGCGATCACACGGACATCTTCACCATGATCGTACGGGAGTTGATCGAAAGGGGAGATCCTTTATCCGAAGAGCTTTTAGTTTGTCAGGTACATCCCGCTGTTCCCCTTGTTCTTGCGTATAACTATATCGTGGGGGCATCGCTAACCTTAACATAGTTACGAACTCTCATGGTGAGAGGGCATGAATCTACCGCCAACTCAATCGTCTGGTGTCTCCATATGCTCGCTATTCATCCGTCTGTCCAGGCCCGTCTGCGCGCAGCCATACGCGAAGTGATCACAGAGGACTCTTTCACCTACGAGGCAGTCAACTCAATCGATTACTTAGACTGCGTCATTAAAGAAGTCACCCGCCTCTACCCTTCATGTAAGGACAAACACACCCTTTTTTTTCTCTGCTCCATCATAAATTTGTATGCTCAGCTTTTTACTAACGCTGGGCAACTAGTCGTGTCTATGCTGCGCACCCCTATAAATGACATCGAGATATGCGGCACTCTCGTACCTGCCGGCACTCTGCTAATGATGTACCCTGCTGTGACCCAGCACAACCCGACTATCTGGGGTCCAACTGTAAACGAGTTCAACCCAAATAGATGGAATGACTTACCCAGTGCCGCGCATGACCCGTATGTGTATCAGGTCTTCTACAGCGGAACGCGAGTCTGTGTTGGTCGAGCGTTTGGTTTGCTCGAGATCAAAACATTCCTTACCAAGCTTTTGCTCAAGTGGGAGTTCCATCCCATTGAGAAGGAGCTCGAGATGCCTTGGTCCGGATTTACGCTGAAACCCACGCATGGGCTTAAATTGAGAATCACTCCTGCTCCTGAACCATGATTTTTGTTGTTTTTTATGAATGAATGAATTTGATAAGAACATATATACGTATATAGTTTAAGAATGATTTTGTGTTTTTTCTAAAAAAAAAAAATTCTACAGCGTTTTTGCCTTCAGACCTGTGCTGTGCTCTGGATATACGCCTTTTCTTCTTCTGTCATCTTGTTATCCCCTTTGGAGAGCCTGAGAAGTATCTGAGCTGCCAGGTCAGGCTTCCCTGCATGGCCAAAGAGCCGGTACTGAGCAGGCGAATTGAGGCCAAAGTACACTGCTATCAGCACCTGGTAAGCCTGTACTGGGTTAGAAGTGAAGATCCGCTGGAACAAACGCCAGAAGGTCGGGGCGGCGTCCAGCTGACTGAACAGGTCATCGCAGTACGGCAAGTACTTGACTATTGTGGTGTGTCTATCCGAAGAAACCATCTACCATCGATCTCTCTTAGTCGGAGGACGTGGAACGTGGAACAAATGAAGTAGCAGGCATATCAACAACTTACCCGAGAGGCCAGCTCCTCCTGATACGCATAGACCGATCTCTCCATCTCGTCTGGGGAAGGCAGCGTAACTTTCCCCGTAATTGCACCCACCGCCCATCTTGCCTGCGCCTCAGCAACTGGGACCAGCGGCCCCTCAAGATGCACGTAACCGATACAAAAGAGGTTTGGATACCTTGGGGCGGCAACGAGCTTATACAGGTTAAGACTGTTTCTGGCTGGTAGCACGCTATCCTTCTCCTGCATCCGGTAGTACTCGTCCAATAGGTACGGCAGGTCGATGTCATAACCTGTACAGCAGATGATGACATCTACTTCCAGGGTCGTCCCATTGGTTAGAACGATGCCATAATCTGTTATCCTGTCAATACTAGCCCTGTGGGCAGTGATACGGCCTGTCCGGATGTTCTCCAGCAGGTCGCTTCGAACAGTCAGATTGGCCTGGAAGAGCGAATGCTGCGGCTTGATCTCTTCCGGCAGCGAGCCTACGACGGCCTCGCATAGCTTCATCTGGCACCATTCCGAGGCCCACTTGGGAAGTATTGTCTCAAATAGTCGACCTACGTAGATTAGCATACATACGTTTCCAGCAGTGATACCTAACTATGTGACCCTGATAGTCATATAGGCGGGAGACTTACTGTCCCACGCCTCGGCGGGTTTGCCGAGGACGTACCGGGGAATCACCCAGCCGCCCCGGCGAGTAATCAAATGCACCTCACTGGCCACCGAGCTGATTTCAGAAGAGAGGTCGGCGGCTGAATTGCCAAACCCGATGATGGCGACTCTCTTGCCCTCGAACCTCGCCGGCTTGCGGTAGGTGTGGCTGTGGAAGAGCTCACCCTGGAACTTGTCCCTGCCGGCAAAGTCCGGTATCATCGGCTTCGACAGGGTCCCGGTACATGCAAGCACGGCGTCAAACACCGCCTCTACGGGCCCATGGCCTTGTTGCTGGTAGACGACGGTCCATTTGCCGGGATTATCGCCGGTTTTCCGCTGCTGCTGCTGCTGCTGCTGCCTGCAGGAGATGACCTTTGTCTGCAGCTTGATGTACGCGGCCAGCCCAAAGTGCTCGACATACTCGTGTATGTACTGCAGAAACTGGCGATGGCCGAAGTAATCAGGGTACCTGGCTGGGTCAATGGGGAAGTCACTGAAGGAGGACGTATCACGGCACGAATTGAGCGTCACATTGTCGTAGATGGACGAGGCTGTCTCCCCGGTCTCAGGGTCAGGGTCCTCGTAGTTCCACTGGCCGCCGATGACGTCCCGCCCTTCGAAGACGGTGGCATCTGTGACGCCGTTCTCCAGACACGTCTTCAACGACGCCAGGCCCGATACTCCTGCCAACCGTCAGTAGCTGGCCCCTGGAGCCGTCGAAGGTAAGGTGTATGTATGCAGCCCCCTTACCGGCCCCGATGATGGCTACCCTCAGCCCCATGATGACAGCCACTGTACTGCCAGTAGTTACCTCAGTGGAAATGCACCAGACCTGGAGTGAAGTAAACAAGAGAAGAACACTATAGCCTCTAGCTGTGTGTGACTACGTGAAAGGTGAAGTCGCAGCTTCAGGGGGGGAGGCGAGTATACAAATTCACTGTGTCTGTGGTTGTTTCTGCCTTCAGCCTCAGGCCAGGAACGTTCCAGCCACGTGAGGAAGGGAGAAAGAACTATATAAAAGAAGGCCTTCAAAGGAACACAACCAAATACATCTACACTTGA